ACATAACCACTACACCATCTGCTGGCCCTGGTCAAATTTCTAAGCTAGCGCTATCTAACAGAACCTCCTGTGAAGAGGAAAATGTTCTGTGGCCGTACTGTTCAATGTGCAGCCACTAACGACAGACGGCCCGAGCACTTGAAATACAGAGGGTAAGCCTCAGAAACTGGATTTCTTGTTTTGTTTGCTTGTTTGTTTTGGGGCTAGAGGGTGTGTGTAGTTGCTAGAAAGAGAAAAGAGAGAGTGAGTGAACTCCCAGTGGGGCATGGTCAGGCCACAATCCCTTCTCCGCCGTTTCTCCCCCCATCAGGATTTTGGACATGCACACACATGCACCCAGTGTGTTTTTCAAGCTGTTGGGGCTGGGACTTGAACTGTAGTCACCATGTGGGATCCAGTCCCCTGTGCACAGGGGTTAGACATTGTGCCATGGGGCTTGCCCTGTGGATTTTTAATTTAATTTTAACTGAATTTATATAGCAATAGTTGACTAGTGACTAGCATATAGACTGCAGAAGTTTAGGTATAACTTCCAATTCAAAGGACAATAAGCAAAGAAAACCTCTTTACACTGTATTTAGTATACGGTCACCTAAATCCAGACTGGGAGACTACAGAATGAACTAACTGTGTTGTCAGAAAAGTCACGGCATATGGTTTTTGTTTTGTTTTGAGAGTTGTTTGTTTGTTATAGGGCGTGTACACTTGCCAGAAAGAGCGAGACAGACAAAAAGCGAGAAATCACCCCCCAGGGGGGATGTCCACGCTGCAATCCCTTCTCTTCCATTCTCCTCTCGGGGTCTTGGGTGTGCATGCACACGCGCCTGGCGTGAGTTTAAGCCACTGGTCCAGGACTCGAACCGTGGTCGACTACATGGGAGTCCAGCGACATAGCCATTATGCTATCTGCTGGTCCCCATGGCATATTTTTTCTATGTAGAATGCATCATGACTTTTCCAATAACCCAACAGTTTCTTCAACAGTTGTTGAATACAAACTTCAAGGGAGCCTATACACTAAAAGAGATGAAAGAAGGAAATACAAATTAAAACCACAATGAGATAGCACTTTATGCCCAACAAGATGGCTGCAAAAGGGGCCAGCAGGTGGCATGCTGGTTAAGGGCACTGGACTCCCACATGGCCGACCACAGTTTGAGTCCCGGACCTGGCAGCTTGCTTTCTCTCTTTCTCTGTTCCTCTCTGATCGAATTAAAATAAAATAAATAAATAAAGCTAAAATAAAATAATTGTTAAAAAAAAATACAGGGGCAATAAAAAAGTCAGATACTAATAAGTGTTGGTGAAGAAGTGGGAAACCTGAAACCCTCACTCATTGCTGATGAAGTATAAGATGGTGCAGCCACTTTGGAAAACAGTCTAGCAGTTCCTAAAAAGGTTCAGCATAGTTACCACACAGCGTATCAATTCCACACAAGGGAAATGGAAACAGGTCCACAATGTGGTGATTCCACAATGCTTTGAATATACTGAAAACAACTGGATTGTACACCTACAATAGAGTAATTACATCTTAATAAAACTATTGTTTTAGAAGAGATAAAAGAGTTACTAATCACTATATATGAATCTTACATGAATCCTGGTTCAACCAAATAGCCTATTTTTAATTTTTTTTTTGAGAGGTTTTTCGCTATAGAGCGCGTGCGCTCGCCAGACAGACAGAGAGAGACATAGAGACAGAAAGTGAGAAATCATCCCCCAGAGGGGATGGTCATGCCGCAATCCCTTCTCCTCTATTCTCCTCTCGGGATCTTGGGCACGCACGCACACGCGCCTGGCGTGAGTTTTAAGCCACCGGGTCCAGGACGCAAACCGCGGTCAACTACGTGGGAGTCCAGTGACATAGCCATTATGCTAACTGCTGGTTCCCTATTTTTAAATTTTTGATAAAATCTAGAAAATTTGACCACTGACTAAATGTTGAATTATATTAAGGAGTTACTATTAATTTGGGTAATAGTGGTATCATGGTTATATTTTTAAAAAATTCTTTGTTGTGGACAGTAGATGGCACAGTTGGTTACATTGCTGGATTCCCATATGGATGACTACAGTTTGAGTCCTGGACCTGGTGGCTTGAAACTCATGCCGGGTGCATGTGCACGCCTGCCCAAGATCCCAGGAGGAGAATGGAGAAGGGATTGTGGCATGGCCATCCTCCCGGGGGGGGGATCTCTCATTTTCCCTTTCACTGTCTCTTTCTCCAGCAAGCGCACATGCCCTAAGGCAAAAACCTATTTTAAAAATTCTTTATCATTTAGAGATAAATACTGAAACAGACATAGAGGAAATGACATCAGGTCCAGAATGTGTATCAAGAGAATCTGTTTAGGGAGGATGAGAGGAGATATAGATCAAACAGTGGCCACGAGCTGGTAATTATTAAACCTGTGATGGTTACAAGGAAACTTATTATACTATTCTTTTCACTTTTAAAGGAAGCTTGTTTTATAATATATAGAAAGTTTTTATGTATTATGACATGTACCTAAAATGTTTCACAAGGGCCAGCCCCATAGCCCAGTGGTTAAGGGAGCCAGATCTCACATGGCTGACAATGGTTAGACTCCTAGTGGACTGAAAAACATGCTGGGTATATGTTTTTGTGTGCCCAAAATCCTGACGTGATGGAGAAATGGAGAAGGGCTTGTGATAGAACCGTGTCCCACTGGGGGTTGCTTTCTCCTTCGCTCTGTCTCACTGAGCCACTCACCCTCTGGCAATTAAATATGTTTTATAATAAATTTTAATGATTACTTGGAAATAATCAACAGGTGTAAGACCAAATAATGAAAAATTATTGATATGCAGAATAGATAAATTTCTAGATGGGATACACACTTGTGGTTGGCAAGGGGTGATGGGAAGGCATGGGAAGAAACTACTTAATAGGAAGGTGCTTTACTTTGGAGAGATAGAAATGCTTTGGAACTAGAGAAAGGTGATAAGTATACAAAAGTGATAGTTGTGAATGCGCTAAACATTACTGAATTTGTTCACTTTCAAATGTTTGGTTTTAGGTTATATGTGTTTCATTTTATTTTTTAAACTTTATTTATATATTTATTTATTTTAATTTGACCAGAGACAGGCAGAGAGAGAGAAAGCAAGTGCCAGATCCAGGACTCACACTGTGGTTGGCCATGTGGGGGTCCAGCACCCTTAACCACCATGCCACTTGCTGGCCCCACACCTCAATTATTTTTTAAAAGAAAAAAATATTTAAAAAAAATTTAGAGATATTTTTGCAATAGGGCACGTGTGCTCACCAGAGAGAGACAGAAAGACAGAAAGTGAGTAATTACCCCTAGGGGATGGGCACACCACAATTCTTTCTCCTCCTTATCTTGGCATTTTACGCATGCATGCGCATGTGCTGGTGTGAGGTTTTCCACCCTTAACCACCATGCCACTTGCTGGCCCCACACCTCAATTATTTTTTAAAAGAAAAAAATATTAAAAAAAAAATTTAGAGATATTTTTGCACTAGGGCACGTGTGCTCACCCGAGAGAGAGAGAAAGACAGAAAGTGAGTAATTACCCCTAGGGGATGGGCACACCACAATTCTTTCTCCTCCTTATCTTGGCATTTTACGCATGCATGCGCATGTGCTGGTGTGAGGTTTTCTTGTTTTTGTTTTTGTTTTTTGAGGTTTTTGCTATAGGGCACGTGCGCTTGCCAGAAAGACACAGAGAGACAGAGAGACAGAAAGCGAGAAGGCACGCCCCGGGGGGTGGCCACGCCACAATCCCTTCTCCTCCGTTCTCCTCTTGGGATCTTGGGCACACACGCACACGTGCCCGGCGTGAGTTTAAGTCACCAGGTCCAGGACTCGAACCACGGTTGACTACATGGGAGTCAAGCTACATAGCCTTATGCTAACTGCTGGTCCCCCCCCCATACAGTCTTTCTAAAAATTATTTAATTTTATTAATTATTATTAATTTTTAAAATTTATTGTACAGTGACAAAGAGAGAAAAGTGAGAAAGCAAGCCACTAACTAGGTCAAGGACTAGAACCGTGGCTGGCCATGTGGGAGTCCAGTGCTTAACCATCATTCTACCTGCCAAATTGGTAAGCATGAAATTGTATGCCACTGGGTTACCAATTTATATTTCATATTTGTATTGGCCATTTGATTCTAATATAAAATGCCTGTTTGTCATTTGCCCATTTCTAGATTGAATCCTTTGATTTTTCTTATTTAGTCCTAGATTCTCTATATGTGTTATTAATAGCTTTCTCCTCACTCGATAGCTTTTCTTTTGACTCTTTTTATCACTTTCAAAGAAAACAAGTTACTGATTTTTTACTGGAGTCAGTGTTGCATATCATTCTCTTTATGGTTGATGCTTTTCTGTGTGAATAATGAAGATATCTTTCCATATCCTGAGGTCATGATCACTTTTTTTTTTTTTTTTTGGCAGCAGAGCGTAAGACCTTTTCATTGTACATTAGACACACGTGACGCCTCCAAATGCCGGGACCTGGGGAGGGCTTGTCACGCTCTGCCCCAGGAGGAAGCCCGAACGATCACTTTTATATTCACTCCTAAAGTTTTATAGTTTCGCTTTTCACGTATAGATTGTTTGATAATGACTTTCTTGAGATACAACTTACATATCATAATTCACCAATTTAAAGTGCTCACAGTTTCTAGTTTATTCACAGAGTTGTGCAGCTAGCACCACAATCAATTTGAGAACATTTTCACCACCTTGAAAAGAAACCCCATCCCCTTTAGCAGTTACCTCAAACCTCCTAGCACATGGCAATCACTACTCTACTTTCTGTCTCTCTAGATTTTCTTGTGATGGCTGTTTGATAAAAACGAAATCATACAGTATTTAACTTTTTGTAACTGGCCTCTTTCATTTAACATAATGCTTTTGAGGTTCATCCATATGGTAGCATGTATCAGTACTTCATTTCTTTTTATTGTCACATTCAAGTCTGTAACTTGCTGGGAATTACCTTTATGTATGGTGTGAGGTAGGCATCCATGGTTTGTCTATATCTCCCAATGCCCCGGGAAGATATTTTGAAGAGGTTCCCCTTTGCTTATGCTCAGTTTTGCTATCTTCATAATAGTAAAGTATCCATTTATTTGTAGGTGTGATCCTGGGCTCTCTGTTCTGTTACACTGTATCCTCAAATCCCAGTACCAATATTATACTGTTTGGATTAATATACTTTATAATATGACTTGGTACTAGTGCAAGTCATCAAACAACAAGCTAGTCTACATTAAAAACTATCTGTCACCCTGGGGGTGATTTCGACTTTCATTCTTGGTAATTACACTTATCAAAAACATTAAATCCTGGGGCCAGCAGGTGGAGCAGTGGTTAAGGTAAGGCGCCAGACTACCACTGGCTAACCACAGTTTGAGTCTTAGACCTGGCAGCTTAAAAATCATGCCAGTCACATGTGCGTGCATGCCCAAAATCTCAGCAGGAGAATGAAAAGAGATTTCATCATGGCCATCCTCCCTGAGGGGTGATTTCTCCCTTTCCCTCTCACTGTCTCTCTGTCTCTCTCCAGTGAGTACACACGCCCTATGGCAAAAACCTTAAACAACAACAACTAAATCCTTACTTAACACCATAAAAATACAGTCATTTCCCTTGGGGACCAGTGGGATCCAGAGAGATTTTTTAAATCTCCCTTTTTAAAGAGAAACTTTTGCTTTAGGGCACGTGTGCTCACCAGAAAGAGAAACAGAAAGCGAGAAATCATCCCTCAGGGTAGATGGCTATGCCACAATCCCTTCTCCTCCATTCTCCTATTGGGATTTTGGGCACACACACACTTTTGCCCAGTGTGAGTTTTAAGTCACCAGGCCCAGGACTCAAACTGCGGTCAACTACATGGGATTCCAGTGACATAACCATTATGCCATCTGCTGGTCCCATCTACCTAATCCTTTTTAATGACTGTATACTGTCCCACTGTTTACAACCTTCAATTATCTCCCAAACAAATTTATTGAGTTCCTCTTATATGCCAGGCCCTATTCCTGATAGTCACTTCGACTCTATAACAGTGAACAAACCACAAAAATAGCCCTGTCCCTGAGCTGAAAGCCCTACAAACGAACACTTAGTTTGTTTTTAGTTTCACAAACCATCTTGTGATAGACATCCTCCCACTTATACCTGACCCTCTTCCACCAGGGAGCCAGGAGGAGATATCTGCAAAGGAGGAAATGCTGGGTTAAAAGATCACTTGGAACCTGCTCAGAAAACATGTATCAGCAAGATGGCTCCAACCATCCTTTCCCCAACAAACTGGGTAGGAAAATGTAGATCCTGGGGCCAGGCTGAGGTGCACTGGTGAAAGGTGACACACTGCACGGCTGACTCACATGCCAAGGTTCTGGGTTTGTGTCTGGAGACCTCCCTGACTGCCCATGACCCAAGGCTGGCTGAGGTTGAGGGTGGATCATGGTGTGAAGACCTGATGGGGGTATTTTTCCTCTCTCTCTTTCACTCATGGAAGAAAGAAAGAATACACTCCTACACATGGCCAACTGCATAGTTCAAATCCCTGATCCGGCTGCTTGAAAAACAGGCCAGGTGCACATGTGCCCAAAATCCCAAGAGGAAAATGGAGGAAAAGGGATCATGGCGTGGCCGTCTCCTCCGGGGAGATGCTGTGTCACTCCCCCCGCCCTGTCTCAGTCTACACATCACATACCCTATAGCAAGAAACCCAAAAACCAAAAAACATGAAAACTTATACTCAATATATTTATTTATTTTTCTCTCATTAACCTATCTGTTGTTACAGGTGTCTCAGCCATGAACCTTGAAGAGGGTAAGGAAAGGATATTACTTTTTCTTTATCATAAAACAAAGCCCAGTGGATAGGATTTTTTAAGAATATAATTTAAATTCATAAGAAAAGGACAAAGATTACCTTTTGGCTCAGACTAGGGTACAAATTGTATCGATAAAACCAGTAAGGTTAATACAGGGATATGTCCTTTCAATAAATCTCAGCAAGGGATCCCTGTCTTCACCCAACAAAATAACCAAGGGCACACGGTTCAAGGAAAATGCTCCCCAACTATTGGGTGGCTCACACTTTGGGAGTAAAAGCTCTCATTTTTCCTGACAAAATTATCAAATCTTCAGATGGCTGAGCAATAAATATTGTTGGATGTCTGCTTTCTCTTTCCAAACTTCAAAAGAAAGCAATCGGCCCCAATCCAAAACAATTCTTCGTATTATTATTATTCATTGCCAGAGGGTACATCCATTACCAGAAAAGACAGAGAGCAAGCGAAGGAGAAAGCACTCCCAGTGGGGTATGGTCATGCTGCAAACCCTTCACAGGCACACACACCCCGTGTGTCTTTCCAGCAGACAGGGCCGAGATTCGAGTCACACAGCCAGCCACGTGGGAGCCAGTTCCCTTAACCACTAGGCTACATGGCTGGCCCCCAAAGACAATGAATGATTCCCACAGCTCCGTGTTTCAGTCGCAATCTTTGCCGTGTCCACATCTTATCTTTTCTGTTATCAATCGACTGTTTTCTTTGCACGGACTCAGGATTAACCATACAGCCTCCTCTTATCTTATTCTAAATAAGAGTGTCAGCACAGGAATACACTGGCTTCACCAGTTTTCCTGATGCAGGATGAGACATAACTATGCTTGTCTCTGTACCAGTTAGAATCATCTGGGTGCCTCTATTTTGTGAACCTAGCCTTATTTATTTTTAAATGCTATGTTTTAAAAAATAATGTACTTCTTAAGTGAGAAAGAGAAAGATCTTTATCAGGGTCTCATGCTATAATCCCCATCCCTCCCCCCTGCCCTCCCAGCCAGCCAGGATCATGAGCTCACACACCCGGCAGGTACAACTGGGGAACCAAACCCATGATCTTCTATCAAGATCCAGCATTTTCTGAGTGTGTGTGACTGCTGTGCCACCAAGCTGCCTCTTTTTTTTTTTTCCTAATGTTCAGCAAATGATTAAGAAACAAGTCATGGGACCAACAGATGACATAATGGTTATGTTGCTGGACTCCCACATGGTCGACCATGGTTCAAGTCCTGGACACGGGAGCTTAAATTAACTTGCATCAGACGCATGTGCATGCATGCCCCAAATCCTAAGAAGAGAATGAAGGGGAAGGGACTGCGGTATGGCCATCCCCTCTGGGGGGTGATTTCTTGCTTTCTATCTCTCCGTCTCTCTGCCGAGCACATGCACCCTATAGCAAAAATTTTTCTGAAAAAAAAAAAAAAAAAAAAAGAAGTCACAAAGATCCAGATAGTGATTATCTTTAGTGAATAGGAAGGGAGTTGAATGGAAAAAGCACACGATGGGTTTCTGAGTGCCAGAACATTCTATGTGCTGACCTAGATGGTAGTTACAAGGGCGTGTGCTTTATAAGAATTAATTAAACTGCACATTCATTTTAGGCACTTTTCAGTATGTGGGGTTTTATCCCACAATGAAAAATCTTTGTAAAATAGTGCATGTCGTAATTCCATGGTGTTTCTCCACTAAGACATGAATATGGGACAGCGATGCCTGTGGGGGAAGTACACTCTTTTATTTTTCACATATTCTCTATAAAACAGTAGCTGGGAAAGCCAAGTAGGTGAGAAGCCTTGTTTTATCTGGAAAATTGGTAGACTTGTGGGAGACCCTAACACAGAACTCTGTGGTTGTCTTACGTCTAAAGCTTAAAAAACCACGGAGAGTTTCAGGCAGTCCTGTAAGCAAGACCTGTCTCTATCGACAGCTCTAATTCACAGATGAGAAATGCTTGTCTACGTTTTTCTTCATACAGTAATTCAATGTGATCATTTCTATAGGGACAAAAAAAAAAAAAAAAAAGCAAGGCTGTAGCTGTTTTTAGCTTCAGTTTACTGATTTTTCATGAGGATGAAAGAATTTTTTCTAGGAAACAAGCGTACCTGCACTCTCAACTGCCTTGAAGGCAGATACAACCAAAGAATTCGAAAATGATAGGTTTCACAAAAGATAAGCCTACGACCAGCAGAAAACCACAGCTACTCCTATCTCCAACTACCCATTATTAGTGAAGTTTGAGAGAAAGAGACAGGAAGACAAAGAAGGGGCAGGCTACACCCTGGCTAGTGTGGTTGTCTACCTAGCAACAAAACAGCATTGAGAGTCTGAAACTCACAGCTCTGCACGGATTCGAGAAGCATCAGAAACTTCCATTAATTTTGTCATAAACCGATTAGAGCTGATAGACAAACCCAAAGGTCTCAGTACTTAGAGAGACATTGAATAGCTACTCAAATCCCAATAGTTTTCCCAGTAAAACCCACTGGGAAATTCTTAATAAGTTCAAAACAAGGTGACACTTGAAATTCCCTGCAGTCTTAAATTGATCCACACATCCAGAAGAAGGAGAAGAAAAAAAAAAAAAAAAAGATGAAGTGTCGCCAAGAGAAAGTGCCAACCACACAGTTCTGGGACCTTTTGCTTGTTTCTAAGAAATAGGCTTCAAGAGCCTTGTAAAGGCTGACCATCCGGCCGCTGGAACAGGACAGAGGTCGGGGGGAGCCGCTGCACTTTCTCAAATCAAAAGGGGGGAAAGTAAGTGAGAAAATCTCCTGAGTTCAAACATTCCTTTAAAACCCGCAACTTTAAATACTAAATGTGTTTCATGGCTGCCATCTTGAAAAACATTCGTTGGCCAAAGGCGCCCTTTGATTCCCATTTGGGATGGAAACGCTTGCAGATAATCCATTGAAACAGGCCCAGCACAAAGGCCCTTTGGCAACAATCATGATGCTTGTGAAGGACAACATTTTTGTGCGCAAAATAAAACATTTTAATGCGCTACAATCCATTACACATATAGCCCTCCATTTCCTTTCAGTAATTATTCATTAGAAAACATTTAACGTCACTGTGGATTTCACACTGGGCAGTCTGGACACAAAGAACAAGAGATGGCCCATTTATAAGGGGCTGGGGCCTTCTTTTCTAATCTGAGAAACTCCTAGGA